TTGTTGAAGAATTCACTTAGCTGATTTTTCTATTTATTTCATAAACAAGCCTTAAATGACAATTCCATTTAACAGTCTATAATGAAATGTCTTAAAACTAAAGAAAGGACAAACAAAATCTAGGATGGAAAAAAGGTGGATTCTGTTTTTAAAGATAGACTGCCTGGAGAGAGGAGTTACGGTATTGGGGTTGTCCCACCAAGAATGGCAAGCCTGGTGCTGTGCTGGGGAACTTTGATGACATCTTGTAAATAAATGTGGAATGAATGGAGTTCTTACTGAGCTTGTGTGATACTTTCTTCTTTATTAAAAATGTTTGCAGTTGTTGAAACATACAGCTAACATTAGGTCTCTATTGCTGTTACCCACAATGAAAACTATCTTGTAATTGGGATCATTTAAAAATAACGTCTACGTGCCTGACCTGTTCTCTCTGTGACAGGATTCGGTAACTGCTGATTACTTTGTGGTTGAGTTTGGGGGTGTGATTTGGCTATTTTATGGGAGATGTCAGTGTGGGTGGAAATTAGAGGGATTCATCTGTCCTAGGTAAAGAGCACTGGATTTTTGTTACTGCATTAGAAAAGGTTGTGCTATGAAGAACGTACAAGTTGGCCAGTCATTTGTTTACTGACAGACTGCTAGAAAGAGGTGGGCTTTGGGCTTTTTGTTTTTAAAGGAATAGTTAATCTTCAAGGTGAAGACTAGGTTATTTATTTTCTAGGCAGTTCTGGATAGGGACGAGAACAAACAAATCACTTCAAAATAATGTTACTCTAGTGATCTGAGAGATGTGTGAAACTCCTGTTATGAGCCGGTCTTGCCAATCACACTTTTCAGCTAGATGTTGGCATAATTGGTTCCTTGATGGAGATCTGAGGTGTACGAAGATCTGTTCAGAGCCCTGACCCTTCAGAGGTGTTAAATCACATAAAAGGTGATCTCCAAGCGCATAGTAAGAGTGTCAGGTGGCCTTAAAGTTTATATTATGGTATGCGTGAGTACGTGAGATGAAAAGTTTAATGCGCAAAATCAAATATTAACTTTAAGATGTAATTGAAGATGCAAGACTTTTTTTTATTATGCCTTTAGATTAGCCTACCACAAACGTCTATTTAATTTATAGCACTATTGATAGCTTAACAGAAGACTTTATTTATCTTCTTTCTGTAGTAACCGTTAGTTTTGCAGTGAACAGTCCTACGTATTTTACTGCCTTTTTGGCTACACAAACAATGATTCATAAATAAATGTTTAACTCCACTAGAGTTAATGCAGTATTTGCACATGGATTATAATATAATGTTTGAAAAATTAATACACAGTGGATTATAATGTATTGTTTGAAAAATGTAATGAATAGCTCTATTCTGTTCTGGGTGTCAGTTTGAACTTGGATGCTGCAAGACTTTTTGTCACTACCTCAAAATCTCAACAGATAGGAAGCATTATTAGCATTTTCAACTCAATATTGGAGTGTGATTCTGGAATTAAAGTTCCTGTAAATCTAATGTGTCGGTCTGTGCCTTCTCAAAGCTCACCCTGGATAAGAAGGCGGGGGGGGACACGACACCCAAAACAACTCACTGCCATGGTACTTGCTCAAGGGAAACTGGACCTCAGATGCTTCTTTAAAAGTCTCTGCCCAGTGGTGCCAGTGTCTTAAGAAGACCCTTAATCTGCAGTTGTTTTGGAGTTTACATTAATGAAAAGGCAGACAAATGGGCATCGTATCAAACCCAGTATTGACAGTGGATCAACAGAATATAGACAAGAATATATGAGAAGTGCTGCTGGAGTATTACTGTATGCCTACTTAACATTCTGTCCTTCAGTGATTTCATGGTCTAGGAGCTCCTGAGTTAGAAATTGCATCTTTGAATATGGAGTTTGTCATGGATTTTCTTCCCTTAGCTTGCCCAGCTACAGGAACTTTAAGCTTAATTACATATTTTGTGAAGAAGTAACTTTTTTTTTTTTGCTTTGAAGCTGCTCCTCTATGCTTTTTCTGAATGTCTCCTGCTCTTAGAACAATCAGAAGTTGTTCCATATTTACCTTTCCTGCGTCACTTGTGATCTTGTAGAAGTCTGTCCTCTCCCACTTTCATCCATCTTTTTCTTGCCTCTATTTAGGTGTTCTTCATACAGAAGCTGAGCTGTATCTGTCCCATGTTGCCGTTGTCTGTATCCCTAGACCTGCTGTATTGGTAGATGAAAACAAACCAGAAGTGCACACAGAATTAACTTGATACAGGATGTGTGACAAATTACTTTGAGAAGAATTTTTCACTGTTGTTCTGCAAGTCTCTCCTAATAGCCTGTATTATTCTGTTTTATTTTCTTGTTAGCTCAGTGCCAAGAAGCTGTTGCAGTCATAGGCAGCTCTGTTGTAACCCAAAGTTCATGCCGCAGAGTGCTGGTAGTCAGCTCCAGGTCTGTTGCTGTGTTTCTGAACTTAAGATCCTTATCTGTAGACTCTTTTGCCCCTCATCTGACTTGCAGAGAGAAGTGCAAATCTCTGCCTTGTTCAGAAAGAAAGAATAAGGGCTGCTATGAAAGCAGGATTCAGTGGTAGGAGGCATTGCTACTTTGCTGTAAGAAAGGATGGGCTAGTTAAGAACATCTGTTTTTTGCATATTTCTTCTTCCCCATCTGCCTTATTTCTTAAGTTTTAAGGAAAAGTGGTATTTGGAACTAGAATAATTGCTTAAGAATAGACCAAATGAAGTAATGGACTAAAAGAACAACAGTATTAAACTTAGGATTTTGTATTTGTGATGTTTTCCCTCAGTAAGTGTTCACTTGTTTACTTTTTTCCTTTCTAATTAGACGTATATTTTTCAAACAAAACTTTAGCAACTGCGTGTCATTTGAGCATTTTACAGTTGTCTGGAGCATGCAGAGTATTGTGGCAGAAAAACTATGAAACTTTATCTAAATTGCACCAGAATTACTTGGCTTTAAGAATACACTTTGAACTTGGGTAGTGCTTTCTGGCTTGGTGCTGTATAGGTTCTGCACTTTGACATGAGAAGGATTTGTGAGAGTATTGCTTGTTTTGCCCCCTTTGCTGGTAGGACACTGTCTATACTGTTTCTTGCTCTCTTTGTCCGTAGAGTATGTTCTGTCCTGCATGATTGTTTCTGCATGAGGCTCTCCTGAAAGCTCTGGGAAGGTGACCCACGGGTTTTAGCAGAACCCCCTGCGGGTGCCTGCCTGCAGCTTGGTTGTTTCTCTGGTCCAGTGGTCAGCTGGCAGCCACACTAGGGCCTTTTCTTATAAAGCATATCTCTCTGAACTTGGATCATTTGGGAAATAATGAGGGATATCACTCTAATACTATATTTTTTTGTCCAGTCTAATAACTTTCTCTTATATGCTTGTTGAATAGCAAGCAGAATATGTGATTTCTTGCATAGCTTCCCTATTTTGTTAAAACTAAGTCATGTCCACTCCCTTCCATCTCAACTGGCATCTCACGCAAGGGAGTATAAACACCTAATTTTAAACATGACTCATTTTTATGATTGTACAAGTGTGCTAGATGATTATTTTTTAAGAGACCATTGCTGTGACATCCCTAAACCAAACTGAAATAGGGAGTAACCTGGATGGTTGGTTTAAATCTTCTAAATATGCAACTATCTGTACTTGTCCATCATACACAGTCTTGCTGTAAGTGTAGGACAGGTGAGGTGAGGGACTGTGACTGTTCTGCACACTTGGAGCGGGGGAAAGGTTGCCCCTGGAAAAAATCTGTTATTACTGCTAATTAAACCGTATCAAAGAAATTGCCTTAAGTGGGTTAGAAACAGAAATCTCTTACAGGAGGACAGGTCATACTGTAAGCTACTTTCAGGCTTTAGCAGACATTAATAGTTAGCTTATGCTTGTTACACTTTTTAAATATTTCTCTGCAATATGAAGGTGCTACAAAACCTGGTTCTGGAATCATGTTGTAAAAAGTGTCTTGGTTGTCTGAGTAAAAGCTTGAAGTATAGCTCTGCTCTTGAACAGTTGTTTTTAGCTGCATCAGCTTGTAGGTGCAAAATCAGTAGATACTTTTATTCTGCTGATTTATATGTATTTATACTAGATGTGTGCATGCATTTGTGACTAAGAAGCACAAAAGGGATTAGTAAAGGTCATACCAGCAAGCATGTATTTTTCTTTCTTAGGGCAAAAATATCCTTTTAGTAAGCTATACCAAGGGTTTGCGTGCTGTAGAAACCACGGTAGGAATTGTGGCTAGCCATGACTAGAATTTATCTTGTTCTTATTTAGCAGTACATTATATAAAGCAAGCTAGGAGAAGTGGATACGTAGCAGCAAAAGAGGGAAAATAATCATGTTTAATTACCTTGAAGTACCAGAATTTAACCTGTAAAACTGCATTTTAGCAGGGTGAAGAGCATGAAAATAAATCTATCCCTGGAGATCAGCAGACAAATTTATTTGTGATTTTCTGACCATAGTTGATTTGATTCTTCCATACTGTCGCTAGAAGCTGACTCACTGAGACTGGCTAGCTCAGGCAGACGTCAGTGAAGGCTTGAATTCCAGTATATCCAAAGAAATCTATAGTCTGGGTTAAACTGCCATTTCTGCATTTTTGCATGTTATGTCATCCACAGTATTTGCTATGAACATGAATGCTACTAGGAAACCTTTTAGTCTTTCATTTCTAAAATGTTTGTCATGTTAATGCTCATGCATAGAAACCTGAAAGCAAAACGTCCCAGGGACTTGAATTTCACAGAACAAACTGAACAAAATCAGTATACTGAGAATGTTGCTAGTTTCTCCTTCCTTCTCCAAAATGTGGAATTTTGTGTTTGACTAGAGACAGGGGACCTTGTTTTCGTTACGTGCAGGTAAAGTAATCTCTTGATGTGTTATGTAACTTCTTTTAATTGGAAGATGGGGATTTTGCCATGGAGATAATGAGACGCTTTGTGTCTAACATGCAGTTTTTTCTGTTGTTTTGTTTAGTGGGAGACTTTGATAAGATCTGGCGTGAGCACTGTGAGGATGAGGAAACTCTGTGTGAATATGCTGTGGCAATGAAAAACCTTGCAGATAATCACTGGGCAAAAACTTGTGAAGGGGAAGGCCGAATTGAATGGTGTTGCAGGTAAATTTTAATGTATTTGAAAGATGCAATTGCACACTTCTGCTTGCAATTATCTATAATACAAGGCTTAAGCATTTTTTGCTTCTTTGCCCATTTTTAAGATTCGTTCTATAATGTGTTAATGATTTATTGCTTGCTAAAACAAGTACCTTCTTACTGTTCCAATTTAATAAGGAAATATAGCTTATGAAGTGTTTTGTTGCAAGGTGACCGTTTAAAGTATCTTCAATAAACATGTGGTTTTTTTTCTCAAATACTGAAACTGTTTGGAAGTAAACTAATGAAGTAATTTTCTGTACATTTTAACCTAAACTTGAGCAAATGCAGTGACTGCAGCTCAAGTGTAATTTTCAGGGTGCTGGTTTAATTCAGTGTGTATAATAGTGTTTGATCTCTAAATGCAAATCTCTGCTGCGTAATTTTCAAGTCTTAATCTTGACTTTAACCTCTATGAAACTTATTTTAAATGGATTTTAAACTTTAAAATTCTTATGTCATCAACATCCAATTTATATTGGGTTGTTGTAATAGTAAAGTCATGAAGTGAATTCAGCTAAACTATTTCAATCCTTGAGGAAAATAAACTCCTAAAAGAGAAATGTTGGTCATCCAGGATGCCTGCGTACAGTTGGCATCCAAGGCATACCGTGGAATCTGTACAGCAGAACAAAACAAAATATTGTTGAAGTCTAACTGGGAAGAGAATTTATCAGTGATCCTGCCGATGGGAATGACTTTAGACAGGCAAAAAGTAATGTCGTGTGCCAGTCTGTAGGTCCTGCAGGTGAGTGTTGCAGTGTGATGAGCAAAAGGCAGCAAAGAAAAGCAAGCATGGTATCACTAAATGTAAATTCATTCCGTAAGTCCTTTGCGCCCATAAAACAAACAAAAGGAGGGGGGAACAACTGGGAAACAGTTGATCTAGAGTCCGTCTTGGTGGCAACTTGGGCTGTTCTGTGGCTTCTGGAAATGAAGCAGATAATAACAAGCTGGTTTCATTTCTCCCTAAAACAGGCTCTTAAATATTTGAAAACCATTCCTTTACGTATCAGTCTTTTATCCTTTAGTTTAAAAAAAAAACCAATAAACCCCTTAACTGTTTCTCTATAGACACTTTTCTGGACATGTATCATGTGTCCTTATCCCAGAAGTGAATCAGTTGGAAAAAGCTGTGCTCAAAAATAGACACACCATTCTCCTGGCTTTGTCAGGGACAAATAAAATGAAGAAATATTATTAAGGTTGTAGTAAACTCTTGTTTATGCTACTGATCTTGTTTGGTGTGTTTTTTTGGTTTGTGGTTTGGTTTTTTTTGTATTGATGTGGCATTGATTTATGTTCACTTGTGACCCCCAACTGCCCATTTCTTTTTTACAGGCTTCCTCAGTTGCTAGTTGTTTTCTTGTATTTGTGCTGTTCATTACTTCTGTGGAAGTGCTGATATTTGTACCTCTTTACTAAATTACACTTCATTGAATCATATTGAATTGTAATACTGCGATTTCTTGCAGCATCTACCATCTGTCCCCTGCTTGGCATCGTTCACAGATCAGTTGAGTACTGACTGTTCCAATGTTCAGGTTACCTGTGAAAATACTAATTGTACCAGACCCAGGACAGATTCCCATGTAACATTGCTCCATATTTTATTATAATTTGATTGTTAGCTAATATGTGAAACTTTTTTCAATACAGCTGTGTGCATTTATTTTAATTTCAGGTAAATGGTATTCTCTTAGCTTGTGGCAGACTTGTCTGATACCGCTGTAGGACAGGATAATGTTCCTTGTGGACAGGGAAGGAACAGTTCATGGCCTGTGTATGGAAGTTCTTTTTTCTCTGTGTCTCACTTGTTTTATGTTTGTAGTTGCCACAAGATTTACAAAGAAAACATTTAAATAAAGTGTCCAGTTTGGGCCGTGCAGCATGAACTCGCATTGAAAAGAGAATCCACCCAGGAAGGGAGGCTAAAATGCTCTGTCTCAGTATAAAGCTTCAATTAAAGCATGTACCTTTTCAGCTTGCGAAGTCAAGGGGTCAGGAGTTTTACATTAGTAGAAAAAGAGGGGTACTTTTCACTTTTGTGTGCCTCAGAGTAGACTGAGGCCTGGATGGCTAGATACCAGAACATAGCAGATTGACTTCATGTTCTGCAACTTTTTGTTCCTTGTCAAAGGGCAAAGAGGTGTGCTAGACTGCTGGCAGGTCCCATTGTTGTTACTCCTCCTTGTGTCTCGTTGCATAATTGCACACTTGAAGTGTGTGAGATGTCAACTGAAAGCTTTTGCTCAATACTTTAACTGTGTCACCATGACAGCAGGAACGTAGCTGAAGTTTAATTTGGGAGTGGAATGCTGGAAATACTGAGGAACCACGGTTGTATCCTTGCTGAAGAAAGAATAGTCTGAGCTTTTTTGTTTTTCTTTGAAGGAAGATCCTTGCAGAGGTCTGAAACTGAGAAGTGTTTTTTCCAGTAGTTTAAAAAACCAAAACAACCTACTTTTTTCATTCCTTCATTTTCCTTGTATTCTCTTATAAACAAGCACCAGATAAAGTAAATCAGAGAATGCAGAATAACCACTAGAGAAGCCATGTGTGCTTCTCAGGATAAAGAATAACAATTTTCTTGAAGGGTTCTCCTTTCAAAAGTCTTTCTAGCCATTTACTTGAAGACACTGGAAAAATGCGTATTCTGACATTAATTCTTAAAGCAGATGACATAAAACTTACTATTTTACTTCTTCATAAGCTGTTGATTTACACAAGCACATTTCCAGACTTTAGAAACCATAAAAGATGGAAAGCAGTTCGTGATCGGCTATGCTGATGACCATATGCTGCATTGTATAGGGGCAGTTCTATTTGTTGTTTCAGGGCAATGTCATACAGCTGTTAGTTGGGGAGATGGGCGGGGGGGAGTGTGATTAAAACTTTGTCCCCTTCCAGATGCAGGTTAATGATCGCCTGAGCAATGTTGTAAAAAGCCTGGGCAACACTCCGCTGTCCTTCCCTTGCTTTCTGCTTATAGCTTTAGAAAACTGAATACAGAGTAGAAAATGGTGTTTGGAAATTAACACTTCTGCTTCTCTTTCATTTCATTTATATTACAAAGCTTAAACCTTAAACCAAAATAGGGTAAGATGATGTTTACCCTAAATAACTGTCCCAGCCTTTGCATGGATAATGAATGCCAGCCTGTTCTGGTTCTAGTTAGAACAAAAATAAGCTAGACTAGCAGGTGTGCTTTTTTCTGTTGCTTTTGCATCAGTGTTAAGACTTGTGTTGACTTGGCTATTTTTTAAATAGAAAAAAACAAATTCTGCACTTCTAACTACCATGACACAGCACTATCTAGACCTGTATTTTTTAAAAAAACATCTTTTGACTGTTTCATGAGCAAACTGAACAAATATGGTCTTGATGAAGTAAGTGTTAGGTGAGTGCAGAACTGTTTGGAAAAACTTGCAGAGAATAGATGTTAGAAGCTTACCTTAAAATTATTTTACGGAGAAGGACTCTGTCGGTATCTGTCCCTGCATCCATTACCAATCAATATTTTAATCAGCAATCTGCTAGAATAAAGTTCGTTCATTAAATGTGAAGTGGGACCAAACAGAAAAGAACTGTTACTCTGAGAGCAGGATTAAAATTAACAGTGTTGTTAACTATGCCAAATATTATCAACTATACAAATACAGACCAGGGGGTAATTGGTTGTGTCAGTGTTTCAGAAAAACATTTGGATTCTGTAGCAGGCCCCAAGCTGAATTTGAAATAGTCAATGGGATGCTTTTGCAATAAAGGCAAATACATATTGGGGTGTGTTACTGAGATTGTCCACAAGATATGTAAAGTACTTCACTGACTTTACTTAGCATTGCTCTTAGCCAAAATATTACCTTATCCACTGCAATTAAAAAAATAACAAACAGCTCAACTCCAAGAAAGATAAATGATCAAAAATATTCTAATTTTTTCCACAAAAGCCTTGTTGTTTTTTTTTCTAGAATCTGGAGCTGTGTAGTCAAAAAAAGAGAAGGTTAAGTACTCTTACAAGATGTTTGAGAATAACGAATGCCTTCTAGAACTGTAAAGCTGATCTTGTTTGGGTTTGGAAGATAGAATGAATAAACGTTTGAAGTCCCTTCAGCACTGTTTTGCAGCTCTTTTGATGAATGCAGTTAGTTGCACAATTCACTTTCAGGAGAATGGAATTAAGAGGGAGGTGACATAAACAGGAGGAGGGAAACCATTTAAAATAGAAAAAAGACTTAGTGTTCATTGCTTGTGTTTGTATGACAGTCTTCATTTTTGCTCTTAAATAATACTTTATTGTGACAAAACCATACCTGTTTCTTTGAACACTATAACTAATTAGAGCAGTGATCATATGATAACTGCTGCCTATTTTTAAGTTCTTGGAATCTTCCAGTAATGAAGGATATTGCCTCCAAAAGCTGGCTTGGGGTGGAGGGGTGGACATGACACCAGAAAAACAAATGATTACAGGCACAGTTGTGTTTCTCAAAAGGAAAGTGTCTCAAAACCGTAAAACTGAGACCACATATGAAAAATAAAATGGAAAAATGTATTGTGTAAAAGTTTCTCAAGTTGAAATTTAACAAAAAATAATTATGATAGTAAAAAATTATAATACTTTACATTGAGAAATGTGTGCTTATCTATACTGAATATAGGTTTTCCTTAACCTAAAGCTGGGTGTGCATGCCAGTAGCAAAATGTTTCCCAGTCCAGAGGAAACTGTTCCTCTCTTCTAGGTGTGACTAATGTGTACAGGGGAAATTGAGAATTCTACTTTCCTTGATTTTTGTTGGAGGTTGCGGAGTGGGTGGGTTAAACCTGTAGAATAGTTTACACTTTTTTCAGGCCAGCAGCTCTGTCAGTTGACATTCATAAACTTATTCCTCAGTGTGTGGGAGGAAGGGAGAAACATTCTGCAGACAGAAACCGTGATAAGAAGTCCAGATTTTCCTTCAGCTCTGTAGGAAAGTATGTTGTTTCTCTGTACCCTCACTGAACGTCATCTTCAATATTAGGTTTTGGTTAATAAATATTCTAAGAAACACAAGTTAAGCTCACATTTTCCTCATCATAAAGCAGAATGAAAAAGATGGGCTGTGTCAGTTCTTAATCTGTAAAACTCACTACTTGAAACCCTTGAGCATTGATAACAGCTATCAGAAACAGAATTTTTGACATGATAAAAGCTGACCACACCAGCTTTAATTTAGTTGTTCGTTATTACTTGGTGAGAAGAACTACCCACTGATTATTTCATGGCTTTTATATTTCATATGGTGTTTCTTCAGCAATTCCCACCTTCTTTATTTTAATTATATATTCTATTGAATGAAACCCTTGGGTTTGGCCATGGTATTCAAAAAATAAGCTTCTCTTTCATCACTGGAGAGTATTAACAAATGAATATGTACTCATGTTGGCTTTTACTGAAACTTCCTATACATGTCCAGCCCAAACGGCGGAATGGGTGGGTCAACTTGAACAGGTGGTTTACCATTTGAGATTTGAAGTATGGAAAAGAGGTTTCACTGAGGAAGTCTGTTTTTTTTTTTCTTTAAGGCAAAGACATAAACAGGACAGTTCACCCATCTCCACCAGCAAACTTGAACAGTTTAGAACTGAAATGTTTATTTCGCAGTTTGTGTAAACTGTAGCAAGTGTTAGCTCAGGTAGCATTTACATTGCACAGTTCTTCACAAACAAGTATGTTAATTGTAGAGCTATTATTATGTCATCAAAGACTGAAAGCTTAAATGTCAGTTAAAAATGGAGCCATGTGAGTTCTCAGAATTATAAAATAGATTCCTTAATTTTATTTCTCTTTGTACATAATGAAGGGATGTTCTGTTCGTTACTTGAGACAGTTATTAAATGTAGAGTCTTATATAGCTGCATACTCAAAACCACAGTATGATCAATGATGGCTTTTAATGGCTGTGAAGTTAAACATGTGGCTACATCAACAAGCTGCCATGGGGTGAACTACTGAGTGCATTACCCCAGCTAGCTACTGTGCAGTGACAGCCCACATGCTCGATGTTACCCCACGGCAGGTATGAGGTGCAATTCCATGAGAAGAGTACAAAGACAGCTTCTCTGAAGCCATGGCAGCCAAAAGGGTGACATGTAGTAGTAATCCTCCAGAATAGCTGCAACTTCAGAAAGGTGTAAAATGGAGATAACTCTCAGTGGTTGTGAAGTGCAGTCTTGCCTGGGGTTTTTTTTTGGGTGGGTGGATTTGGTTTGTGGTTTTTTGGTTGGTGGCTGGGTTTTGTTTGGGTTTTTTTGCCTTTTTGTGGTACTGAACAGGTATGCAGACTGGGATCTGAATGGGAAGAATTTTATGCAGTCCTGGGCCTTCTTGTGGCTCTGGCCCTCCCATCCACCAGCAAAAACACAGGAGCAGAAGATGCTCTCCTAGTGGTTGACTTTGATAGTGTCTTATGTGCAGACAAGGAAGGTCAGTTAAGAATATAGAATTACAGGAACTCAGTTGACATGGTAGACTGGGATAGAGGGATGGAAAAAATACTCATTTGCACCAGTACCAAAAATGAGGAAGAAATGGCTTCTTGGTGACAAGAGGAACTTATACTACACTTTGCAAGTAGGTGGTTCTCCTGTGCAACAGCTCGTTAAATGTTAAGCTGCACAACATACCAGCTTCTAGTGAATTAAAAAGATGAGAACATCAATGGTTGAGGAGAAAAAAACGATACATTCCCCCAAGGTTGGGAACTTTCTGATGTGTTCTGACTTAGATGTCAGCATCAATGGCAGTGCAACACTATTTAAATTGCCATTGATTCTGGATGTTTTAAGAGATATAATGAGAAGAAGGACTTAGCATCTTGCAGTCTCTTTATTTTTATTCTAACAAAGTAGTAAGATAGCTGATAAATAGTGAGGAAAAATACATTTTTTTCTGAGTTTCATTTCTTTGACTAAATGACACACAGGCCTAAATAGTTCAGAAAGACATAATCCCTAAATTGATCATATGTTTATAAACAAATAATACAATATAGTGTAAAATACAACTTTTATTAGGACACCAGCTGTTTCTTGGGTTCTGTTTTGTTTACTGATGGTTTTAATATCTTTGCTGCTAAGTTAAATGACTGACTCCTACTTTAATAATTTTAGAATTGTTGTCTTTCCATACGTGCAATCTCTGATGGATGGAGTTGGTATGGTTTCACAGTCTATATCTGGGAGTATTGCAGCCTCGACTGCTGTTCATGCTTCTGCATGTTATCTTGCTCCATACTGTTACAATGGGGATTTTCTTTCTTTGTTCCACCTAGCCTCTCTTTGGTTTGAAAATAGCTTTGGTTACTGAGGAACTGTAACTATAAACTTGTTGATTATAAATATAATTTTTACTTAGGTTATTTCTCATATAGCTATGTATTCTGCTCTAAGGTTACTGTCTACATTTTAGACTTTATTTTTAGTTCAAGAACACCTAGGGCCTGCCTGAGCAAGTAAAACTTGCTTGTGGTTTGAGTTTTAGATGCTTGAGGTCCTATGTCAGCACAGAAATGGGTCCAGGATAACTTTCTCCCCCCCCCCGCCACTCCTCACAGCAAGAATTAGTAACCTGGGCATAATGTGCTACTGTAATTGTACATTTACTGATTCAAGGTGTTAATTTCCTACCATCTTGGAGTAAAGCAACTTTTATCCGTACCTGTTTGTTTGTTTCCCTTTAAGAAACTCAATTCTCATGACTCTTATTTTTTTGCTTTGCATCTTATATGGTGGAGAGGCTGGGTATACTTGGTGCCTATAATATCACCAAACCTTAGATAAGGCCTGCCTATTCCAAGTCCTTGTCTCTATTTGTGATTTAAATGCAGTATTATGACAACATATCCTTTCCTGAATCTGTGATGTGAAATACTATGTTATCTTGATGCTGCTTTGTATAAGATGTTATTAAACGACACTTGAATTTATGTTTTCTGGAATGTTTCCTTCAAACCTCTGCAGCTTTGTTAGAGGAAAATTGAGTGAATTTCAAGAAAGCATCATAAAAATGGGTTGTTATGAAAACATCATTCAAACAAGTACTGTTTCTGTTAAACTTTCCATGCAAATACTTGGCTAGGACAGCTAATTAAAAATACTGCTTTGTGCCAGGTGAGTCAGGCTCTTTAATTTCACAGCAACAAATTGTTTCCAATTCTAGTTCTATTTTGTGGACAAAATTCAGTTATTCTCAAACATAATGCGTGCTTCTCATACACTAATGCTGACTACTGGTTGAAGTATGCAGGTGCAATTTCATTTTTTTTATAACATTCGTTCCTTTAAACTGGTTTACATTGCTGTTTGAGTATGACCCTGTTATTTTGTTCTGGTTCCTATTAGCAAAATAATTAAATGTGGGAGAAAACTGAAAGCTGAAGTAACTCTTCCACAACAGTACAGCTACTGCAGATATCTGTTACTTAAAAAACAACCCAGGCGAACTCAACTGAAATTAAAAAGTGGTATTTGTAAGTTAGCACATAAGCCTGGATTATGTTTATTTTCCCCCACATTACGTGCCTTGAAAAACAGAGATGTTTCAAAAGCCCCTGCATTTATGGCGGGCTAGTTAATAACTGTTTGCACCTTAATAGAGAACTGTGGTGCTCGGTTGACAGCTGAAGTTTACCCTCTAGTGATGTTCTGACAAGACTTCTGCTGTCTTGCTCTAAAAGTCTATCCAGATAAAATTATTTTGAATCTGTTTATTCAACTGTGACTTAAGCCTAATTTCTGGAAATAAAACACCAGTCGACTTCAAGTGTGTCTTTGGCTGTATCGCATCTTTCCTAAAGCTGATTTACCAAAGTTGCGGTAAAACTCGGATTTGTTTAAAAGCTGACAGCACTTGTATCTGTTAAACTGCTGTCTTCTGTCTCATCTATAGTAATGATCAAAAATAGCATTCTGTTTTTCTGGGGAATTTTTCTTTTTATCTTTTCAGTGTATGCCGAGAATATTTTCAGAATGGTGGGAAAAGAAAAGCACTTGAGAAAGATGAAAAAAGAGCACTTCTTGCTTCTAAGACCACTCCAGCTTTAAATGTTCCTCAGGCTCCCAAGACTGAAGATCCCTTGCCAAACTTTGGCTTGACAAATCATGAAGCTGTAACAGAAGAGTAAGTTTTACTTGTTTTCCACACTTTTTTTTTTTCCCACTTTTTTGTGTGATAAGACTTACCTGGACATTTTTTCCCCATAACGTATTAGATTAGTCTGATGTATTGTTGATAGATGAGAAAGGGTATTTTCATGTGAATATTTACATGTTTTCAAGAAATATTTATTTTGTGGTATATTTTGGTGGATACCATAAAATTGCTTGAGTGTGACAACTTAGTCATCTTCATTTAAGTGTTGAAGCAGTTTCACTTTTGTGTGTCATTGGTGTGCGATGCAATTTATATTAAACCTGGAGGTGAAATAAGGGAGATGTTAATTAAGTTAGAACCTAATGGCTGTTCAGCATTGTTGAAGAGTCAATTGCTTATGTAACTACTAAGTGCCACATGTAAAATCAGAGTACTTAAAACTTTCTCTTCATAATTGAGTTCAGAGAAACTCTTGATTCCAATTATACACATCAAAAGCAATTTTTAATTATAACCCTTAATTTTAAATGGGCTAGCCTTCTGGTGACTGGCTCTGCAGAAGTTGTAGTATCCTTGAGGTATTTTTTAAACATTTTTTTTTTTTTTTTTTTTTTTGACCTTCACTCAAGTAAGTATTTTATTTTTGGCATTCAGGAGTAGCTTTATTTCAGTTACAGTCCCACTCTCCTTTTTTTCCTAAATAACATGGGTCATGTTTATGGCTATTCCATGTGTTATGGAAAGAATTTACTATTTTGCAAGTGTAATGGCATAATGAATGCATAAGCATATTATCATTAAATGTTACACTTATGACTTACTTCATATTCTTTATAGACCAGTTCTTACAACTGTCTGCAATAGTGTTTTTCCTGTTCTATGAGGAGATTTTTCTCATTATTGTAGCATGTCTTCTGCAATCAGCACTTACTTTAAGTGAGATATAATATTAGTTAGGAAAGGAGTGAGCATGTTACTGATGTTGTTAGCGGATGTCTCTCTCCTTAGGAGCTGGTATCTGTTGTGATTTCTCCTGTTTGTAAAGTAACTTCCAAAAGGCATTAAGATCCCAAATGCATGTGCAGTTGAATAGTTACATACGAAATGAAAACATTTTCCCCATTGTTGTCATAGTATGACAAGACAAAACAGATGCTTCCAAAAGGAAGGTAGTGGCTTCTTATAAGCTGACTTCCCCCACCAGCTCCTCTTTTTAGTGCTCATTTTGCTAAGTCATCCTCAAAATGAATGCTTGTTTTTTAATAAGAACTGCTAGGCACTTTCACACAAAGGGCTGATGAGATACTAATACCCTGTAACATCTCAATAATGCTGGCATTTGTTAACACGTAATTTTAGCATTGCCATAAATAGAAGTTCATTGGTACTTGTTTGTTTAAATCAACAGGTTTGATGATCATAAACTACTTAAAAGTTGGTTTGTCTTCCAGTGAGAAGGCTTGTCATGATAAAGCATCAGCGCTCTCTTTGCATGTGCTCTATCTTCATACTTTGTACAGAGTTTATAAAGGCCATTGCAGAGCTAACTTCACGAGTTTCTTCTTGCTACCAGTAGTCTGTAGCCCTGCCTTTTGTTCTGACTGGTGTATATAGAAAGTAGTTAATAGAGAAGTTTTTATTTAATAATTTTAAAAGTATTTGTTAAGATAGTGGGTGATGATGATTTTTATCTTTGTTCTCTAAACTTTAAAAAGATATATATATCCATAAAGACATACCTGGCAAAGGCAAGATTCTTAATATTTACCTGAGTAAGCAACAAATGATAGTAAGGTTTTTAGTAGCTGTACAGACCTTAAAGCAACAAGGCATAGCTGTTCTAAGTTACTGCCCAGAGAAATCAAAACTCAGTTTCTTGCTCTGTGCCTTATATAAGAAATTACAAAGTTTATCAGAATGAAAATGGATTGTGTGTTACACAAAGCATACTTTCCTCCTGAAATGCTTTTCTACCGTGTCTACACTGATCATTTAGTAAAGTCTTTGAATCTTAATGAGGTCTTAGTACAAGGTGTATGGGGTAAACTCCACACAAGACAGACAGACACCTCCACCCACCCACACCACACACACATGCACACAGTAGTTCAAAGAAAGACACTGGGAGATGCGGAGAGAAGTAGGAAGCACTCGGTTAGCTGTTAAAGGTGATGGTAGGAAACATCATAGGAACCAGAAGTGCAAAGTTTACTGCAACTCAGAAGGTCATTCAGCTGCTTTGATGAACCCATTTCCAGTTGCTCACCTCTTTGGTAATTTCTCACCAATTTTAAACTGGCAATGTGAACAGTCCTTTTTTTACTTTCATCTATATGGGAAGTAATGTATTGTCCACAGTACTTCCTTCCATTCCAGACTGAGTTCTTATGTCTCTAACATGATAACTGCACCTGTTGTGAAGCTGGGCATCAAAGTGGCTCAGTTTTGCAAGATAAAAGCGGCTATTACCTGCTGTTTAACAGCTTCTCTCTTCAATAAATCACTCCACCCTTTGTTTTCTTTTTGAGTATTGTTTCTCTTCTTTGTCTGCCAAATTAAGCGGTATTGCTTTTTATCCTTACCAGTAAAAATCACAACCTTTTTGGTATGGATTCTTCTCAGGTGCTGGTTTGACTGTCTCTTAAGGTACAACTTGTCGCTCTTTCTTTCATATGTATCTCAGCAAGCTAGACCTTCCCACTGGATATTTTTATGCGTGGATGTTAGGAAATATTTGGGGCATACCAGTGTTGCCACTCAGAGCCAGACATATAGCTTTGTTCTGCTCTTCTGACAGCAGCATAAGGCTTCTGAGAGTCGTCCCACCCCCTCCCCTCTTTAATAAATAAATAAATGAGTAATTGGAAACTGTAAACTAGGAGATCAGCACTTGAAGTGATTCATTCTGGAGATTAAGTGACTTTCATTATGGTCATGCAACTGTGCTCTATTTCTGTTGACTTCCAAGAGAAAAAGTCACCTGTACAGCACCTAGTTGAATAATAGGTGCATTTTTAAGGGGGGTAATAATGAAGAGCTGCAGTCCATTTAATAAAGTTCTTAAAATCAACAAGCGTGTGATATATTTAAAATGCACTCATTGCCCAGGTTATGTACACTTCTTCACCAGTTCCTGATCTTTAACTGTTCACATTTTGGTTTTCTACCTGTACACTAATGCATTGAGGAACTGTGAATTCAAGATGTGTTTGGGCATTATCTACAGTGGCAAAGTACTTCCCTTGCTTTTAATGTTGCCTTGACTGAAAACCATTAGGAAACATGGCGTTGAAGGGTGATTATCAATGAATTCAGCAAGACTACGTTTCTAACAAAATCACTCGCTGGATCAGTGATCGTCACCTAGGTTACAGTTGTAGTCTCACTATAACTCTCTCATCTGACAACGACTTTTTCAGCACTGCAACTCTTATCTGAACCAGTGGTCTTCAGACCATCTGAGTTGGTGGTCTGAGCTCTCTATATATGTTCAGTGACCAAATCCTGAAGAGCTTCACAGATGTCTCAAGCATCTAACTTAGGATCCTATTCCTGCCAATAACTGGCAGCCTGAATTGCTACTAAGCAATTCATTCCACCTGTGTTCTGAGAGGCAGGAAAACCTGACAAGCAGCAGGAAGTCATGACACAAGTGAGCATCTGATTCTCTGCTACTTTTAAGGTTTTTAAGTACGCTTGCATTGAACTTAGACTGCAGGGCTCCTTGGATGTGACACAACTATCAGAGTGAATTTGCCTTAGATCTGTTGTCCATTAGTGTACAAGAGAATTTTTGGCTTCTGCTCAGCTTGGAATCCAGAGTTGTAGCTTTCCAGAAGTGTGCCCCAGTGCTGTAGTAGTCTGAAGCAGTGTCCCCCTTCACCCAGTCAAGAGTAATGCTGCAGCCGACAATGCAGGTTTCGTAAGAGAGGAAGACAGAATACATGACAGTGTTTTTTTCACTTGATGGTGGGTAAAGCGGGCTGTCCTGGAGGTTAGAGGGTTGTGGGTTATGCTGCTTAATTTTAATCTGTACAGGTATTTCATTGAACACTTTAAATGGAAAATGTTAAGATCTCTAGAGGCTGTCACTCTTCTTTATGGAAAGTTTTCTCTGCACTATGCAGTCAGTGTTATCTCTCGTTGTGTTTCCTGTGGTCCCATGTGTCTTCTATTCTTTTGCTGTTACCATTGGACTCTTATGTAGGGTGCAAGCGTACATACAGACATACATTTTTGTGTTTAAATGAAAAAGAATCCGCTGTTAGTGTCTTCCTTTGGTAGACAAGGACATGTGCTGGTCTGAGTAATCTCATACTAGCCTTACGTGGAAAAAGACACTACTTGACTTCAGCCCATGTTTGTGATTTATGGCCACTAGGATCTGAATGGTCTCTCTGCAGTATTCAAATTCCTGTTGTACAGATTACACTGTGATTGGCATCCAAGCTGGGAAAAAATTGTTTCTGTCATCTTTGTTCTGAAATCTCACTCAGTACTGACTTACAGGGTAGTCTGGTGATGTGTGCTATTTTAACTTAAAAGATAATTCTTCCGCTATTGGCCTTCATGATGCTGGTATTTTGACAGGAGTATCCCCCGGATCTCTTCTATTCCATGTAGAAGCAAAATCCTTAAACTTGGCATTATTATTCTGCTGAATGAAACAAGAAATCCTCTCTTGCTTCTCCAGCATCCTTCCTGTGGTAGATCACTGGGAGTTTAGGAGGAGAACAGACAGCCCAGGTCTCTTTATTGCTGCTTAACAAGTTTTTTTCTACAGTACTCCTTACTGCTTTGTTGTTGCTATGAGTACAACCACGGCTTTGCTGGACTCCACTGGCCCTGCAGATCTGTTTCTGGAAGTTTTTTGGAGTGATCTGTGTCTCTAGGGCTCAGTCTTTCCCAGAAAGATGACAAATGATATTTTGGAGATGCCAGTTGGAATTGGTTACAGAAACTTGAAGCAAAAAGCAACATTTGCTTGCTGGAAAGTTATCATTCTTCTCCCTGTGAATTCCCTGTGAAAGCTGTGAGTTTGCCTTCGTTTGCTTCTGTTAATGGATTTTGGGTATTCTAAGATCGTGCAAAGCATGATGCAAACTTTTGGATGCAGCCCTGTAAATGATCCAGTAGAAAGAGCTCAAGTTGTTGGGGACTCGTGGTCCAAGGGGTTATTGCTGACTGTGCTGTTATTTTCCTTTTTTCATACATGGATGCACTCATCAAGTGATGTTTTAAAGAACAGGCAGCTGTAAAGTCTGTACTAGTGGACTTGAACAGAATTGTTTAACCTCCAGCATTTACTGGTTTGCAGTTGCAAAGAAAGAATAAACAGCAGAGGCCTCCAAATTCAGAATGCGAGGAAAATAAAAAACTAAAGAACAGTGTCTTTGTGTGATGTATTCAGCAGCTGGATTCTTCATATTAGTGATAACTGAATGCAACATTCAAAGTCTAGTTATTTTCAGAGGATCAGTGTGTCAGGTTAGACAAACTAAGTGCCAGGACAAGGCAAAAACTGTAAATAGCTGACTGCCAGTAATTCTGTACAAGTGCATTGATCTTATCTGATGCTACTGGTAACTGCATTAGTCATGAAGAAAATGCCTATGGCTGCAAACTTGAAGACCACAAATGTTCCCCAGGCATTGGTCAAGGAGAAAATCCTTTGGAATATAAGAACGCTTTCAGAGACAAGGCAACAGTCACTATCCTCAAAAGTTGCCAGGCATCTTTTTTTGCTTTTCTTTTTTGAACTATATATTTAACTTAAAGAAAAGAACAACAATGTTTTTATCTTCATAAAGTCATTTGAGTTTGGTGTTGCAGTTGGTCACAAATGATGTCACGGCTTCCTGAGAAAAGGCAAATCTCATCTGCCAGCCTCTCGCACATCTTCTGCTGTGCTTTAATGGGAGCTTCCACCAGACAGTACAAGAATATCCTCTGTTCGTTTCTTCAGTCTGCTGTTTTCTTTCTAATCTCCCACTCCTCCAGTTTTTTTAACCCCAGAAATTTTGGAATCTGGTTGAGAAGATGGGCCAGTTACTCAATGTGGGGTGGGTTGGTTTGTTTATTTCCCATAATGTTTCAGAAGGCTACATGTGTATCTCTGCAGCATTCTAGAACTAAAGTATTAAAGTGTCCTCAGCAGTCTGTCAACCTCCTTCTGTCAGTCCAAGCAGTAAGTCGTGATTTCTGAAGTTAATCCTTTTTTTTGATCATTCACCTTTTGTTGTTTGGTAGCATAGTTAAGTATTTAGCATTACAGCCATTGGCCTTCTTATCTATAATTTCACTTGAATAATAGGGTCATCACACAGTGGCAGATAAAGAGATAGATTTTTTTTTTTGGCTTATTGAAATGTTCTCCAGAATTCTTGTGGTCTAAAGCATAATTTTTGAGTACTTCAGAAGTTCTCTGATTAGGACTCTCTTTCTTAAACCAGGTTATTTTTTAGTATTTCTCGTTAAAAAGTGTTTGGATACTCCAAAAGAAAACTGATTGCATGGCATGGACAGACTTCTTTTCCCCCAAGTAGTTTTGAGGGAATACTTCAATTCGGTTAGATGTTTATAATAACTTCCCTACAACTTGAGCAGCCAATTTTTAAGTTTGTGGCTCTGCATGGACTAATCTAACTATTGCACAGCATCCATTGAAGACAGAATTGGAGTGAAACTCCAGAATTTTAAAAAATATTAGCTAACATAAAGGAAATAAATTGTCTTAAAATTTCTACAGGGAATAACTAAATACTTCAATTTTTAGATTTTTTTTGTTTACCTTGGAATACCATTATGTGTTCTCTTGTCTTTGTTAAACTAGTTACGGCACTTGACTTGAGATGCCCTTTAAAATGTGACTGCCAAGTAGGTAGGTCACGGAGTGTTGTCAGTTTCTCTTCTAAACTCCTGAAATTTTAACTCTGGTGACTTGTGTGATTTCAATACCAGTAAATACCACAAAAAGGTAAGTGGGAAACACAAAGCAATAGAGGAAGCCTGTATAGTGGACACACAAGTTGCCATTTTAATTTCTTACTAGAAGTACATTACAGCTGCTGTGAACATAAACTCATCCACTTGAGGACCATCTGCTTTGCTGATGATGCTTGGTGCTTTAGGTATCTCAGCAATTCAAGTAAGCTGTTCACTTCTGTTAGTCACTGCTGTGGTGTTCTATGAGAAATTTGTTGCATTAGTTATCTGAAATTGTAATTCAGAATATAGCTTCAAAAATAGCATTTGATAAAACTGAATTGTTGCTGCTCCGTAGATTGCTCCACTCCTTGGGGAAGATCAGATTACTTGATGTTGGTAGCTGCTTTAATCCATTTCTGAAGTTTGAAGAATTTCTGACAGTTGGCATAGATATTGTTCCAGCTGTTGAGGTATGTAATATTTGCTAAATTTATATTAAATCTTGTTCTCGGATATTTGGGAATGTTTCAAAATGACTGTAAAAAAAGTATGCTTAATACTTAAGTATGTATCTTAAATATCTGTGGTTTAAAAGGAACTGCGGCCCTCCTACTATATCCTTTCCCATGAGCAGGTTCTGAGCTAGTTGTTTTTTGTTTTAAAAATCTGATTTTTTTTCAAGAGTTATGCCTTTATAATGCGGTTGTGAATCTTAAAATTGGAAAATTTTAGTAGCCATCTTTTAATGGTGTTTCAGATGAGTCCTTGCATCTTAAAAGTCATAAATAAAAATTGAGTAGGCTTACGCTTAGGCATAAACCTCTCATAAGTTGTGTTTGCTGACAGAAGAAAATGAATAGTGACTGAACTTGGTGAGTTTTTCTGGGGAGTTTTAGTAACCAGAAGTGCACTGTAAGGGGACTTTCCAGTTTATTGCTGCACATATTATTGAACTTCTGCAATCCTGAGGACAAATTTATCAGCACTTTTGGAGTAAATTACTTCTTATTCTCTAGGTAGTAAGTTTCTCAAATGCATTAATTCTGCTGTAATCGTATGTTCTTTCTGTCTGGTGCTCTTGACCCAATTTTGTCATTTTTCTTGGTTGATAAATGCTATTAGGACTGACAAAAGTGGAATGATAATGAAAAGATACAGAAAGAAATGCATTTCTGACAGAAAACAGAAAAACCTTTAATCGTGTACATCTTGACCACTTACAGTTTAAAATGAGGCTCTATTAAATTCAGTGGCCTAAGGTAACCCTCTCTAGAAGTGGAGAGGTGAGAAGTGTACAAGTATGCTCTGTACAACTACCTGAAAGGAGGTTGTAGTGAGGCAGATGTTGGTCTCTCTTCCCACATAACTAGCAATAGGACAAGAGGCAATGGGCTCAGGTTGCGTCAGGGGAGATGTAGCTTGCATATTAGGAAAAGTTTCTTTCCTGAAAGAGTGATCAGGCATTGGGACAGGCTGCCCAGGGAAGTGGTGGAGTCCCCATCCCCAGAGGTGTTTAAAACACATGTAGATGCAGCACTTCGGGGTATGGTTTAGTAGGAATGATGGTGGTATAGTAGAAATGGTAGTGTTGGGTTGATGGTTGGACTTGATGATCTTAGAGATCTTTTCCAACCATAATGATTCTATGAATAATACAGTTAACTTGAAAGTAATGTTCTCTTGTTGCAGTGTGGTTTAGGTGCTAAACGCATGGTATTTTGTTGTGATCACGAGGCTTAGTCCACTAACGTCTAATTTATATTTTTGTGTATATTCTTAGAGATAATGAAAGATATTCTTGAAAATAAAAATCTTAGCTTGATAAATTGCTTTTTAAAGCAATTGAATGTTAGTTTCATCTAAAACACAAACTTGGAGCGGGCTCCATCTTGTCTGATTTGAAGAATAGGCATCACTTTCTCAGATGTGATTGCCTTCTACCACTTCAGAGGCTGTAGGACATCTGCATAGGGCTGTTCGGCATGACACAAGATGTAAAGGAGACACATGCCACTTAAGTGGCAGCCTATGACATCTAAAATGATACTACATGGCAAGGAAATTTCCAGCTGAGATACACAGATCATGGGTATCTACATCTGAGGTTCTATGTTCCAATTACAGTCAGTGGAGATCTATTAGAAATAGTAGGTGAAACCTAAACGTCTGCTGTTTCACAGTGAGGTGAATTATGTTCTGACCTCATGGGCTGTGTTGGCCAGCTCTTCAGAGACTATAGTGGAAGCCTAGGCACCTGAAGTTATATGAGCTCAATCTAACCATTAATTTGGGGGTATGGATAGTTAATACTTTGCTGTCTAGTCTACTGTGCTGTTTTGCTAAGAAAATTATGTTTGTTCTCATGAAAAGCAATTTAAATGTACAGCAACCAAACCCATTATTGGAAGAGTCCCAGAAGGGTTACTTCTGCGTATGTAATGGAGGAGTGTCAGTAATCCAGGCCAGACAACAGGAGAGGGAGTAGTTAGGTAGCTGCATTTTCTGTGTACTAACCAGTTCTTCAGGCTCCCGCGCAGCACAAGGGCACGATAAGATAATTGATTTCTTGTCTGCTGACATAGTAGCATAACTTGATGGTAGGAACTCTCTGGAGTGCTACAGATCAGCGTAGTTACTGTGAGGCCTGTCTCAGGCTCACCAGCATCTCGTACTTCCATTCTCTTGGACACTTCAGTGTGTTCAGGGCACCCTGCAACCTAGCTAGCAAGCATTCCTGGAGTGACATGGAGTACAGCTTGTGCACTCAAACACATCTGCTGGAGTAAGCTTAGGCCCTCCTGCAAATCAGAGTTAATAAGCCCTGATATATTCAAGATGACTCTACTTTGAGCACTAAAATCTCCTGAATAAATTTATCTTTGGGCCAGTAGTTGCTTGGGCTGATTTAAGATTTCAGAATAACAGTCAGAGGGTTCTTACGATAGTTAATGTCATCTTCTGACCTGAAAAATTGATCTGATAACTTAGTGGTAGAAGCTGAAAATAGAAGAATTGGTAAAATCTTCTGATTTAACAGATCTTTTAGGTAAGATACCAAAATATTTTTTGAAACACATTGAAACATAGAGGCTTCTTAAGAAGTCAGTGTCTTGAATAATGTTGAATGGGGGGTTAATAATCCCTTCGTTGCGTGGTTTGGGTGGGAAGGGCCCTTACCGATCATCTGGTCCCACCCCCCCTGCCATGGGCAGGGACATCTTCCACTAGACCAGGCTGCTCAAAGCCCCATCCAACCTGGCCTCTCTTCTTTCTGAATGCAAGATGAGTTAGATGGGGTGTACAGACAGCCCACGGAAAATTGAGAAATGAGACTATCCTCACTTCCATCCCCATTCCTTGACACTCCGTCACTCCTTGCACGCTCCTTTACTCACCAGCAGTCAGGCCTTACGTAGCCTGCGCAACGCATACAACAGGATGACTTTGCCAGGTATCACCCAAATCATCTCATGCTTGAGTGCTGATGGGCTCAACTACTGCTGCAGCCTTTTCTGTCCTTACATGCAGTCGTGCCCCATTCTGATCCACTCAGAAAGCTCTTACAAGGATCATCTCACTCACTGCCTTAATCACAGCCCCTTCTTTAATAAAAATAGATTAATCCACTTTCTGCATATGGAAATGCTTTGGATATAGACTAAGAAGTTGAGTAAAATACTTCAGCTAATTTGAGGAGTAAGAAGGATATAACTGGAAAATTATAATATACGGGTAGAATTGTGTTCTTAAATGTCAGTGGACACACTGAAATATGACTGACTGCTGTTTCAGTGTCTAGAAGAGCTTTAACATCAGTTCAAGACTTATATCTAGAGTTTAGTACGAATCTCCACTTTAGCAGCATTTTTGCCCTAAAACTGCCTGCAGAGTTTAGATTCCACTCAAAACATACTTTAGCCCTCCAGTTGTCTTTAACATTCTTTCTGCATAACTGTTTTATGAATATTTTTCCACAATATGAGTATTATTTCCAGAAATATTTGTAGTCTAAATTGCTTTTTCAGCTACATATGTATAACCTCTGACTTTTTAAGTGTTGCTTCTAAGTAAAGTTAGCATGCTACTCTGAACAATTATACTTCTTATTAGAGGATATCATGAAATTACAGCTGTTAATTTCCTGTTCTAAATATTACAAGGAAACAGAATATAGCCCTGCAGGTATAATGGTTGCAATTAAAATTTCTTGATTATAGCCACATAATGCAAGTCTCTCTCTTGGTTGGTGGTTTCTGGGGAGTTTTTTGCATATTGAAGGCCAAGATTAAGGCTACTGAAAAATAAATCACAGATTTTTTTTTTTTTAACATTGATTATTTTTTCTAATTTACTGCATACTTGCAGTAAAGAGAACGTGATTTTATTTAAACAGAAATAACATTCTCTTCTACTGGGAAACAATTGTGCATATCAGTTGCTTTATCAATACCTTTACAATCATGTTCTAGTGATTTTTTTTTTTAAATATGGTTCTATAAAAAACGCTGTCAATATTTTTGTGGTATGAAAATGCAGCAGATCTAACTCCACCCTTCAGATGTGCTCTGCAATGTTTTGTGTTTACTTTTATGTTCACTTACGAGTTTAGCGTGTCTGTCATTCACTGCACGTTCTCTAGGCATTAATAACAACTTTTGTTGCTATCACATCAAAACCTTGTATCTTAATACCTTTTTTTATGAAGGAAGTCAGGCCCAGGTTTTGGTGAATGTAAAATGTCATTTGAATGCTTTGTTATTAAGGATGTTAAGGACTTATTCTTCTGTGTGTTGTCTTGTGGTGACATTTCCCGTCTTTGACAACTGGAGCGCACAAATGATTGACAGATGAATTTGTAGCCCTTACCTTACTTTGATAACTGTCCAAATGTGTACTGGTACACTTTGCATTTAAGGCAAGGTTAAAACATGGACCCGCGTCACTGCAGCAAAGCAGTTAGTGTACTGTAACTTTCTAATGTGTATTGCCTTGCCACAGTGTCTTTGTCCTGTAAGAGTAAAGAATGAGACTTTTCTCCAAGTGACCAAACTACTAAGTTTCTTGGAATCTTTTCAAAGAACTGGTGGAAATACTGAGGTATCAAATTTAGTTTCTAATTACTGATTTCAGGTTTAGAAAAGCCTATAAAAGGCTTCCAGTATCTGGAGAAGCAAAAACAATGTAGGGTTATCTGAGCTGTTCTTAAGTCATTTGTGAGATAGTTGATTTGATCCGTCATCCTATTTGGGCTAAATTTCTATTTATTTATTTACTTAAAATTAACAGTTCTCCGCTATCAAATCTCTAGTAAAGTACTGCACATCTAAAATCTTACTTTGCAACTGTGAAAGCTAACAGTATGCACTG